CATTTCAGAGAAGCTCTTTCCCCTTCACACCCTGCTCAGCCTCCTCTTGGAGATTGTGCTAAAGTCCAGGATTTGATCCAAAAAAAAAAAAAAAAGGAAAAGATGAAACATGTAGGTAGAAATCAATGGAGCCTTTAAACACTGCTCTGCGAGAAAGGCTGCGCTTTGCTGTTGTCTTTCTGAACCCTGTGAAATGCTGGGAAACTGTTTTTAATAAACAAGAGTTCAAACAGTGGGGCTCCGTAGCCAACAGTCACGCCTTAAACTCTAAACTTTACATGAAAACTCTCCGATCCCTTTGAACTCTCTTTTTTTTCCTCCCTGGCAGAGGATTCCAGTGTTTATGCATTTTTTTGAGATTGCTGGCGGGATCATGAGGAGGGTTTTAATATTTTTTTTAAACAATCTCCTGCCTTCAGAAACCATTAATGCCCACTAAGAAACATCAAGGCAGTGCTTTGAAGTGCCTTCTGGCTACAGCCCTCTTACACTCTTTGGTTACTGTGCAATCAAATAATTAAATGGAGTCTTAAAAAAGAAAAAAAAAATCTTTTACCTGGTAATTAAACACCCCATGTTGGACAGTTGCAAGGGTTTTTAGAGGCATTGCCAATCTACAAAGCCTCGGAAAAGCGCTACGTGCTCCTGGAATGAGTGAGGAGGAGGAGGAGAGGCTTCCTCCCTGCTTTGGCAACCTGTTGCACTGGGATGGTGAGTCCCGCTGGGCTTCTGCCTCTGCTTCCCAGTGCGGATCCTTCCCCGGGAAAAAGCGGAGAGGCATAAATTAGCAAAGCTAAATGCTTGCACTTAAAAAAAAAGAAATGCATTTGTTTGTTTGCTTTGGAATAAACAGTGAGGAAGAAAAAGTTGGAAATGGCCCTTTGGCCACTTCATCAAATGTGGAGCTGCGGGCCAGGGGCCACCCCCCACCCCCGGCCCTGGAGCACAGCCCTGGCCCCAGAGCCTCGGCCTGCGGCACAGGGGGGGTGTGTGGGCAGGAGGCGAGCGCCGTCCCACGCGCTCCGGTGTGCTCCCGAGAGCTCCCGTGGGCTCCCGTGGGCTCCCATGGCCTTCCATGTGCTCCTGCGTGCTCCCACATGCTCCTATGAGCTCCTCTTCCCAGAGCTCACGGAGAAAATTCCCAAATGTGCAGCCTAAATTGGCCCTTCCTTCCTGCAGCTCCGCTTTGATCCGGGCATCGGAATCACAGTGCAGAGCTGCAGGGTTTTGCGTGGCTCTTTGCAGGGCAACATTCGGTGCCACCGTTAACCCCTGCATGGCCACAGCATCTTGCAATACCTCCCATCTGCCATCCCACTGGAAAGCATCGCTTCCGTGGCAGGTGTCCCGGCTGCTGCCTCTCCATGCACATCCTGGGATTTCTGGCGGCTGCAGGTTTGGCCCAAAACAAAACAAAAAAAGTACACCCCCACCTACCTGTCAAATCCTATCAGGGCAGCACTGGATTAATGCAGGCAGGATGGAATGGGGTCTCTTCCCTAAAGACAGATCTGCTCGTGGACGAGAGGAGGGAAGAGGAGGAATGGGTTCCCATGGGATGTTGTCCCCGGCATCATGGCAGGAGGGATGCGGCAGCCCCAGCAGTGGGGCCAGAGGTTTCTGGCCTCATGAAGGCCAGATCCTCCCAAATCACAGGCTAAAAATCACAACTTGAAGGGGGATTTTTCTTTTTTTCTTTTTTAATCGTGATTTTGGGGGCCTGGGGCACAGCAGAGCTCACCCTGCACGCTCAGCAGTGGCCCCACGGTGAGGGGTGGCCTTGGCCACCAGCCTTGCGGGACCAAGGACGCTGCCCTCGAGGCACCTCCCAACTCAGGACAGCTCCTGAGAAGCTCGAGCTAAACCAAAACCTGCTTAGTCAAAATAAGACTCTCTTGTACTCCCTAATTGCCTCTCCCCTTCAAAAATAGAGGGAAAAAATGACTTGAAATCACCCTTTCTAAGTCGCAACAGCACAATTTTGTTCACGCTGCCTTTCCATTGTCTCGCTCCCAGGACCAAGGTGTAATCAGGACCTTTCTCCCGCAACAGGCTAAAAACAAAACGTTTCTGAAGCGCCAATGGTGGCGGCACGCGAGCCAGGCGGCGCATTAAGGTGGTGTTTAACAATCTCCATGTCCCACTTCTAATTGAAACAGAAGAGAGTGCTCACTTTTCATTCATTTTTAAAGGACTATTCAAATACCCTTTCATCTCCACTAAACAGCCTGCCATGCATTTGAAGCCATTTTATATTTTGTTTCTACAGACAGCCCCAAAAACAGAAGTGAGTATTTGGGAGCATTGATGGAAGGATGCAAAGGCACGGGAGGCACTGAATGGCTTCAAGCTGCCTCCGACGTATTCATCTTCCCGAGAAGAATTAGGCACAGTGTGATTCATTTTAATACAGAAGAAAAATAATACTACTATGTAGTGCTAAGTTCCTAACCTTTGATGGTTGACTTTAAAAAAAAATTTTAAAGAAGAGGGAAAAAAAAATCCTTCTTCCCTGATGTTGCTGAAGTCTCCCTACACCCATCCGTTATGTCCAGCTTATCAATTAAGATGAACCCCATGAACTTCAGATGGGCTTTAAAACAAGACATCATCCATTTGAATGTGTAAAAGTGCCTGCGGCTCCCTTTTTTAAAATCTTTTTTTTTTGAACTGAAGGATTGAGTCCTGGGCTCTGTGTACTCGGTGTGAAGTTGAGCCCTTTGATAGAAGTTTCACTGATGTTTTAAATGAAGTCTTCTCACACACACAAAATAACCCAGATAATTTAAAACCTCATAGAAGAAAAAGAGGGTGGAGGAACAAAAATAAAATAAAATAAAATAGAGAAAAGCGTAGCCAGTGTCGTTGCAGACGTGCAGAGGCTGGCTCTGCTTACCAGCGCGTGAGCCCAAAAGCACTTCCACAGTTGCTTTCCCAGAGTTGCTTGCTGGAGACGTGGAAAGCCTGAGTGACAGCTGGGAGACAAATCCAGCCCTGGAATGGGCAACTTTTCCCCCAGGAACAAATTAAACTCATTCATCTATAAAATAGTGTTTGTAGCCTGAGTCCAAGAGGGAAGGCCCATGGAGGCTGCTCCCAGGACTGGCTGCATCAAACCTCTCCCAAATCCAGGTCCCTCAAAGGCAGTTGGATTAACCAAGGCTTTAAAAAGTTGGGTTTTACTTAAAACAGGTTATACAGGGAGAAAATTGGCAGCTGGAATCAGTCATGGCACCAGCACGCTCAGCTAGCCCTGAAAAGTGTGTGGTGGACCTCAGACCTACGTGGCCTACAGCCTTGGCACAGGAACATCACCACCACCTTCAGCAGAGCTCATGGGATAAGCAAGTCATCCTGAGAATATATTTTATATAAATATATATATAAATAACTGTGCTGCGTAAGAGGCAACCTCGGTCTTACCTCCTTCACCTGCAACCTATTCCCCGCAGGAAGAGTTTCCCACGTGGGGAAGGAAAGCAGAGCTCAGTCACTGTGTCCAGCGTGAGCTACCAGCTCACGTGGGAAGAAACCTTCTAAGTCACTAGGGGAATTAAAAAAAAGTCAGACAATGTTAATTTGAAAAATATAAAATTTTAATAAAGGCTACATCTCTTAATTACAATAATTATTGTACCAAGTAATTTTTTTAAATGAAACTCTTTATAATGCATAATTTACAGTATAAGTAGAACAAAATGCCATGGCAAAAGTCATGAGTACAGGACTTGTAATAAAAGGCATAAAATATATTTATACATAAACCCCTTAAACAAACAAGGGAAAGCTTGAACCCTGAATATAGGGCGACGCATGGCCTAGTAACACCATGCAGGCACAGGTACTGTACTGATTAATTTTTTAAAAAAACACTAGAGATAGTGTATTAATATTTTCACCATACATTTTCTACAATATATACAGACTCATACAAAGTAGCGATGGCAAACAGAATGCACAGATTAACTTAATCAACACGAAACCCAAGTGTAGAAATGCAAGGTCTCTCTGGGGAAGGGGTGCTCGGCCCTCGTGCCCACCTCTGCCAAGCGGCGCCCGGAGCATCCGCTGGCACCTGCCCTGGGGGGGTGTGAGGGTGAGGCAAAAAAATAATTAAAATATAATAATTAAAAAAAAAAAACACACAAAGAATTGCATGCTCCACAGCTACGCCCCATCATCGGTAAAATGTCTTTTAAATGCAAGTTGTGCTAACAATGAACAGCTTAAAAATTAGCTGGCTGTGTGGCATCCCTAGGGCTTTTGGACCTGGCTTTTGCAACGTGGATATGGGAACGTGATGGATCTTTCCCAGCTCTCCCAGGCTGGGTCCCAGCCTCCTCCGCTCCGAACGCGGCCAAGCGGACACCAGGGCAGGACAACAAGGTCCTCTGCACCCACCGCATGTAACACAAGACCTTTACTTCAAGTTAGAGCAGCAGAGACTAAAATGCACCGGTCTCCAGAGGACTGGTAGGGTTTTATTTCACTTTTGATTATTATTCCTTTAGAAATGGTCTCTCTTCACTTGGAGAAATTCTGGGTGCAAAGTCCTTCCTTCCCTCTTCCCCCTTCAAAAATCCATCAGCCGTGCTCTTAGCCCAACTCCTCAATTTTCGGCAGTGGGAAAAATGTAAAAAAATAAAATACTCCTTCCTCCCCTCACCCCCTTCCCAGTCCCTCTTTCTTCTCCATTGTTAAAGCAGCATATCCAAAAACTGGACTTAAGGGAAAACAGAGTGTTCAATAAATATCAATAAGGATTACTGTTAAGGTAAGCTATACACAGTTTCTCTTAGTCCATAGATTTCAGATCCCCAGGAAATCATATATTATGTATGGAAGTCTCTCAAACACGGTCTGCATCTCCAATAGCCAACAGTGGTCATGTTTTTAATAAATAGTTCAGGGTTTTTATCATCTCAGTACCCAACTCATGAATAATAAATGCCATTTTTTTCCTCTAAGGCTAATTCAGCAAAGTCTTCATAGACTTCACCTTTTTTTTTTCTTCATTGGTTCAAAACTTTCCTTCAGAGTTGTTTTTCCTCCTTGTTATCACTACTGTTATGTGTCCACAGACTTTTCTAGCTTAATTTTCCTTAAGCGACACTGATGCCGTCAATCAATCCTTTCCACTTTCCCAAGAATCCTCCCTTCGTACATGGGCAGGATCGCGTCGTCTTCCCAGATTTCCTCGAACACGGCGCCGCAGTCGAACTCGTCGCTCGCCTTTTTGAAGTAGTATCTGTGGAAGGGGAGAGCACAGTGGGTTAAAGCAGGAGAGGCCTCCCCAGGGCATGGGGTGTCCTCAGGAACAGAGCAAATTAGAAAGCAGGGGCAATTCTGGTCACTATCTTAATTAAAAATATAAATAAATGCACGTTCAAAGCAAAGCATCCTGAAGGTTCCCCCATCTCTCTCCCCACCTTCTTTCTTTCACGTGTTTTCTTTTTTTCCCCTCAAATACGAAGCCCAACATTAAAATTAGCAACTGTTATTAAAAGGAGAGGTTCCTCAGGAAGGCAGAGGGATTCCAAGCAAACGGGCCAGGCTTCCCGCACGGGAAACTCTGCACGGAGCAGCCGCTGCTCGCGCTGGGACTCACCCTCCTCTGGAGCTTCGGACTGGGGAAGATGTTGGGTATTTGCTAGGGGTGAACAGGGGGGCTGCAATTTTTACTAGGATACTTAAGGAGAGCAAATGAAGCTCAGTTTTACTATTAAACCTATATATATATGTAAACCTATTTATATATATATACACCCATATATATATATATGAGATATATTTATAGATCACGGCATGGTCATCTTAGAACTTGCTTTTTAAGTAGTGACTTTTCCCCTGTGCATTTTTAAGATGCCCAGCAAAGATGCCTTTCGAGCCTATTTATTTTTTAGGCGAGTTAAAATTATTTGGCAGGGTGGGGGGATAAAGCTGCCTTTCTTCCCCTTGAAGGGCTTGCAGCAGCTACATTTAGGCAAGGGATGTTTAGTATTTATTTTTGCAAAGCCCATCCAAGCCCAGCTGACACATGTTGCGTCTTCGAGGGGTCAGCAAGGAAAACATCTCGTGTGAGGAGCTCCCACCAGTCCCTCGCAGGGGACCCGGGAATTTCTCTTCCCTCCGGATAGCGGCGGCGCTTCCCACCGCTTCCTCCGTGCGCCCCAGTGCTGGCTGCGGCCACCGAGTTTGTATTTGAGAAAACACGCTGTGACCTTTTACATAATTGCAACCTTATTTCACAGGGGAAAAAAAAAAAGAAAAAAAGGAGGGAAAGCAAAAAATCCTCCCCCACAACATCTTCAAACAAGTCGCTCTGCTCCTATTTGCTCAGAAATGGGCTTGCCGTTGAAACATATTTTATGTGGCAAGCTTTGCTTTTTTGCTTTATTTATTTATTTAAATTTTTTGGACATCTGGCACCAATAGAGCGGAGCAGGCCTGGTGTTACAGCCCTGTTTTGAACTACTGCCATGTTCAGATTACCCGACACCACCCAGTTTTTGTGTGTGTGTGGATGTTTGTTTTTTGTTAACGCCATCAGTATTAAATCACTGCTTAATTCCTCCTTTTTTTGGGAGGGGGTTGAAAAGGAGGGAAAAACACCCGTTTTGCAGCATCTGCCCCGCTGCCTGCCTGGCCGCAACACTTGGGCATCGGAAAGGAGCGATCCCAGCGCCCGAGGTGCCCACAGTACAAACTGATTCAATCAATGAAGAATTTAGAGCGCCGAGCATTTATGCATGTCTTTGTGCATTAAATGAAAGGCAAAAAGGCTTCAAAGCCATGCTTATTAAATGTGCCTTAAAAAGAAATCAATGCCAGATGTGACCAAAGCAGCCTAGTTAGTGCCTCCCCGTAACACACACGCTACTCCGGGCACCGCGGCCCTCTTCCCTGAAGGTCACCCGCAGTTTCACTCAAAGTCCAGCCAAAAGTCAAAGCTTAGATCAAAATGATTCCCTGGAGGTACACACATTTGTGTAATTAGTTTCACCTTGTGTCTGCGCAAGATAAAATACTGGGCACCGGCCCAAGTTCCTTTTATAAATTTCTGTATTGTCTTTACCCAGGTGTAAAGGGGTGAGATCTAAGCAAAACATTGTTTCATCCTTGTCAGTCACTTAAAAACATTTTCTAAAGTAATTACAGTCTGACAAGGCACAAATAATTGCACCTGGAGGGGCTTTCGAGTCACAGAGGTTTCAGTATCCTCTTCTGGCACTGGGGCATCACATGGGAAATGTCACAGAAAGCAAATGGGGAAAAAAAGGATGTTTTGGGGGGAAACTACCCGGCCCTGGGGAATGGAGCTAACCGCAGAGCAGTGGTTTCCAGCCCATATTGAGGCCATATCTCAGGCCCAGCCCCACCACATCCCAGCGCCGACGGGCACTGACAGCCTCCCGAGCCCAAAGCTTCCTTGGCAGCTTCCTTCCCACCTGCCCAGGTGGCCCTGCCAAAGCGAGTGACAACTCGGTGATGGAGCAGGAGCTGAAGTCACATCCATAATCACCACTACCCCCTGCCAACCCTACAGAGAGACCTTTACAACTTGCCCACACTGTGACCAAGTTCACCAGTGCCCAAACCCACCAGGGAAGCATGGCAACAATAACCCCAGAGGAAGATCCTGCCATGGGAATAGGAGCAGGAGGAAGCAGCAAACTGGATAAACTGGGAGCAGGGCCCTGCAAACCAGACAGGCAAGGTTTGTTGGTGTTTCTAAAGAGGAACTTAGCAGCAGGCAGTGGAATATTCCCCGCAGGGCAGAGTTTTTCCCTGACAAAGGGAAGAGGCTTTTGAAGAGCTAGAAGGGAACTTGTTGCAGCTCAGCTACATCCATGCTCAGGTGCAACATCCCAACCTTTCGGTATCAGGTTTACGGCGACACTATCCAAGTGCCCAGCAGCTGTGGAGACAGCTGAGTCACTTTGCCCATTTTACAAACGTGACAAGATTGAAGGACTAGCCAAGGACCAGCAGGAAACCAGTACGGACAAACGTGGACCCCAGTCTGGAAAGGGAACCTCGAAACCTTTCCCAGGGCTCCATGCATCCATGGCCACCCTGGCTTTCCTTGGCGTTCTTGGACAGCAGCCGTAGCACAAAGTCCACCGGTCTGTACACTCCGGGGAGGAAGAGGAGGAGGAGACAACTCATGAGCTAAGCTCACCATCCCACGAGAGCATCTTAATGCCCCCTTGGCCATCTCCAAGTTGCTCCTGGTTTGAGTGGGACCAGAAAAAAAGCAACTAGAGCCAATCTCCAAAATGTGACAAATATGTTATATTGTGGGTAGATGTGTAGAAATAGCTGTTGATTCTGTTGTCTTATTTTGATATATATATAAAAAAAAAAAAAAAAAAAAGCAAAGCACAAAGATTCTTACCTGTAATTTCCCTTTTTGCTGAGCTGCTCTTTAAAGTGCCCAAGTGTCAGGCTCTGGGCCTTTAACATCCTCCGGTAGGGAATTTCTTCTCCACAAAAAAAATAGGTGACAACCAACTCGCTAGACTGAGAGGTGTGAACAACTGGGAGTTTCTTTGGCTCTTTGTGGCTGAAACCAAAAAAAGAGAAAGAAAACATACAAAAAATCTGTTTTTCCATTTGAGAACCAGCAGTTTCCCAGCACTCAATTGAACAGTGTTTCGGACACATTTAACACTGGTCAGAAACACTGTGGGTATGACTGCGAGTCAGATATTCCCGTCCTTGAAGGGAATTTGTCATTCTGCACTTGGGATTCAGGGCTCAGCCCTGTGGGATGCTGGTCTAGGACAACAGCTCCTGGCCACTTTGATGGCAGCAACATTAGCATCACAAAGCCCGGAGCCTCGGGGTGCGTGTGGGCAGTGGGAATACTGCCCATTCCACAGATGGGAAAACTAGCAGGGATGGAGGGGAGGAAACTTGCTGGAAAAACAAAATTGGATGGCAAGGAAGAGTGGAGATGGGTGCTCACCACGGGCCAAGCCAAAGCATTGCCCCTGTCCAATTTTAGGACTCGTTTCACCTGCCTTCATACAAGCCAGCAGAGAGGGGGCAACAAGACTGACTCCTCCTCATGCACCAAAACCCCTGCGCCCAGCACCAGCTACCAGAGCACAAGGGCTGCAAGGCTCCTCACCCAGACTACACACAGGTGACATTATTTTTTACTGGTGAACAACGAGGCTAAAATTAACCAGCTCATGTCACTGGAAATGGGGAAGGCTTCTGCAAGAATCATTAAAACAACATTACGCAGCAAAATGGCAATGCTCTAGTGAATGCCATGTAGCCAAATCTACAGCTACTTCTGAGGCCATGTACACTTGGCATGTCAAAAGGTCACAAAGTGTTAGTCCGCAGTAATTTAGTCTTCCTAATTTGTTCTAAGTCTTTGTAGAGTGGCTTCAGAAAAAAAAGCTGCTAGCAAAGACAGCTGGTGGACTTAAGGTCAACCAATTAAAAATGAAAGGCTCTAGTCAGGTGGCTCAGTCTGGACTTCAAACATTACTCATTGCTTAAGATGAAGAGGGTAAGAAAGAAAACTTTAATTATTTAGACCATTTTAGACCTCTCTGTAGCAAGATTTCTTGTTAAAAGAACCATCCTGTAATTAGACTAATCCAATCTTTGTCCACTTTACAGGAATGCAAGTTAAAAAGAACCAGAGACAAGATTTGAAAATGTTTTGTTCCCTCTTTAAGAAGAATGTTTGAAAGACTAAACTTCAGATACACAAATTTCCTCTCTTTTCAAAGCACAGTTCATTTAATGAAAATATAATTATTATATATGTTTCCCCATCCTTTCAGGCGGATGCAATACTTACTCTTCTGTCGTTAGACTTGCATTGCAAAAAGGGGTGCTTCCCCCCTGCACAGCAGCGGAGTGGTTTCGATCCCTCTGCTGATTTGAGGTTGAACATCTGAAGTTGGGAGGAGGGGGAGCAAGTAGGAAAGAGGGAAAAAAAAAAGATTTTTTTTTTAATTGTTGAAATACAATCTTCTTAATTGAAGTCTCCTGTGGGTCGTTAAGTTTGCTCTTTGTATCAACCCTCACATGTTGTAAACAATCAAAGGAAGAATTAAAACTGCTGTGGGCTAATTTATCCCTCCATACCCAAGTGAATGATAACCAGTCCAATTCTCCACTTGGTATGTAGCTGGAGTTTGTCCCAGAGGAAAAATGGGCAAATTACAGCCATCAAAAGAGTGGAAGTAATAGTCTAGGATTCAAACTATTTGTGCCGGGCAGGGTGGGGTTGGAATAAGGAAGTTCATCCTTGGGGCTGCGCCAAGAGGTGCTGTCATCCACAGCCCCTTTCCTGCTCCAGACCAATACCTACACCAGGGAGCAGGACAGTGTCCACGCATTCACCTTGGCCTGCTATAACCTTGCCCAGTTGTTCACCGTGGCCTCAGCTCTGGGAGGCCAAGAGCACCAGCTGCACCTGCACGGGCCTCAGCAAAGGCTGATGCAGAAACCTGCAGTGCTGCAGATGCAGAAACCCACAGAAACCTGTGCTGCTGCAGAAACCCGTGTTGCTGCAGATGCAAAATTGCTGCAGATTGCTGCAATCGCTGCAGGTGCAAAACCTGTGCAGCTCCAAAAACCTGTGTCATTTCCAAAACCACCACTGCTGCAGCAACCTGTTTTGCTGTAAACCTACAGAAACCCGCAGTGCTGCAGAAAGCACCAATGCAGCCCCCCATGCCAGCAACTGCATCCCAAGCCCAGCAAAGGACTGATGCAACCAGAGCCTGGAGAGTCAACGGGGAGCTGCAGTCGCTCTCCGATCCCCACCCTGCTGTTCCTCTTTTGTATAAACAACACTGCGTTTTGGGGTCATTACCGTTGTTTCTGAGGCTTGGAGACCTCTGCGAGGCGGCGGCAGGCTTCCTCCAGCTGCGCGAGGGTGTTGGGAGGCGTGAGCGGCGGCATGGCCGGATCCTGCACGAAGGGGTGGGCGGGCTGCGCCCCGCGCGCGTGGCCCGGGCCCCAGAGATGGTGGCGGCCCGGGGCCCCCTTGGCGAACTCGGAGCTGTACGCCTTCTTGGTGCTCTGCGTGCTGGGGAGGGGAAGGAGCCGGGTTAGAAAAGCTGGAAAATATGACTTTAATAGCAGCTCCTATTCTGCTCGCTCCCTCTCAAAAGTCTGTCATAACATGAAAGGAGGTTTATTGCCAAAAACATGACATTTTTGTGGTTTTTCTGGTTCTGCGGAACAGCTTTTATATTAAACCGGAGGAGCAAAGAGTCTCATTTGTTTTTAGCGATTGTAAAAATAGACAGCCCGTGTAATATATAAATATTTACCGGGAGCGATATTGCTGCAGACAGCTGCATATTTACCTATGGGGCTTGTGCTTATTTTGTCTCTCGCTCTCCAGCATCCCC